AGGGGCTGGGGGTCTCTGGGGGTCACTGTCCTCAGAGACTGACAGCGGGGTCCTGGGCACCTCACACAGGGAGTAGGTGACCCTCAGAGGGCTCTTCCAAACAAGATGTTGTGGCTTCACTTGTGCTTTTGTTGCTGTATGGCAGTGCAGGTTTGCTTGCTCCTTTCCTACATGAGCTGTTTGATGGGACTGTAACCTCTGCTCTTCCCTCTAAAGCCATTTAAACTCCTGCTTATTCCCTCCTCCCCCATTTCTTCTTTTACAGCTGGATCACATTGAGGTGAAGTTTGCTTCTGAAGCAGAAGATAAAATCAAAGAAGACTGCTGTCCAGGAAAACCATTTTCTGTATTCAGAACGGAGGTAATACCAGAAATTCAGATATTGAAAGTTTGAAAGCTTCATTAAAAAACTTAAATTGAAACTTTACTTTTGTCTGGGTTTTTTTAAATACGCCATTTAAAAACTTTGATCAGACATGAATGTTTATCATGTATGTATATTTCTAACTCTCAAAGTAAAAATGTCATGATTCCCCTAAATACTTTTTAAACCCTTGTGACACTTTGGGCTGCATTTTAGAGTTGGGGCAGTGCTGGTATCCAGCATGGCCAGGCAGGTTCTAAAGGGATTTTATCCCTCTGGAAGTTTCATTAACAGCAGATGTTTATTTGGTCTAGTTTCATGTTTCTCCTGAGGGATCCCATGCACGGGTTCTCCTTTAAGGTCTGTGTTGTTTCTCACAGCCTGGCGTGTCCGTGTTTCTGGTGAACCCTCAGCCCTCCAACGGCCACTTCTCCACAAAAATGGACATCAGGCAAGGGGACAGCAGAGAGACCATCGTCAGGCGCCTGATGAAGATGGACAGAGGGATCAAAGGTACAAAAGGACCAGTACAGCTGTGCCAGCTGCTGAGGGGGTGCACACAGGGCTGGGGTGTGAGTCACTGCCAGCTGGGGTGGGCGTTTGGGCAGGACTGAGGTGAAGCAGGGACTCCCTCCCTGTCTTCCCAGGAGTGTCAGCGTGCTCTTGGGCACAGGGCTGGCAGGCTGCACCTGCAGGAAGCTTAGCTGAAGGGTCCCAGGCTTCTTGGTCTGCTTAGCAGTGCTGTTAGTCTGCCTTTTGATGGGGAATTGTATTGAAATCAACCCTCACCTTCCCCTTCCTCCCAGTCTCTGCAGTTCATTCCTCAGAAGATGAGGTATAACTGTTCAGTTACTCAGACCTGTCCTGAGCCAGATAAAGCAAATTCAGTGCTTGGAATGTGGTATTAGGAGCTGGTGTTTCTGTGTGGTTTATCCCTGTTTCTGTTGGTAACTCAGTGTGTAACCCCTGGAGGACATTGTTGTGTTGGTGTAAACCTCAGCATGAGTTATTCCCATGAGAATGTATTTCCTTGGAGCAGGTGTGGCAGCTCCAAGGGTTCAGCATTGCTGTGGTCTGTGTGCAGCTCCCGTGGCCTGACCAGCTGCTCTCTCTGTGCAGATCTCTCCAAGGTGAAGCTGATGAGGTTTGATGATCCTGTGCTTGGGCCCCGCCGTGTTCCAGTCCTTGGCAAAGAGGAAGCAGGCAAAACTCCAATCCTGGAACAAGCCATCTTCCACATTGACCTGGCCCAGAGGCACGTCTGTGTCACTGAGAACGGCCTGACCAGGGACATTGGGGACACAATTGTTTACCTGGTGCATTAACTGGTGTGTGTCTAGTGAGAACGTTCATGGAGGGACTTGGGAGCATTTGTATTAAACAAAGGGGAGAAATTGTTCTGTAAAAATAAAAAGCCCACTCAAACCAACCTGAGTTCCCATGTGAGTTGCCCCTGCTCATTTAAACAGGGATTTAATAAAATTATTTTCCTCTGGTGCTTTGCCTTCTCTTGAAAAGAAACAGTTCCCCTGGAGACCCTTCTTTTCCAGCTGTGGGCAGGGTCTTCAGGAACAAATCAGAATGTCATGCTTAGAATTCCACTCCTTCCTCCAGGGAGCTGTGCTGCTTCTCAGCTGCATTCAGCTCCCTCCAAAGCTGATCCAGCCCAAGGCAGAGCCTGGTGCTGCCTGCTGGGAGAGGGTGGCCCTGGCAGGTGGCAGCTGTGTGACAAGGCAAGGAGCATGATGGTCAGCTGAGCTGGATGGCTGGGGTCTCATCATTGTTTATTCCCTCCTGCCTGCTGCCTCAGGATGCTTTTATTCCATTTCACACCCACAGCCAGGTGACCCTCTCGCCCAGCTCACCCCCTCCTCCCCTTGCCATCTGTTCCCAACAGGCAAAACCTGAAATAAGAAAGTGAAAGTAAACATGCTTTCATGCAAAAGGTTTTAATGGTGCCACAGCAGCTCCCAGAGGCTGGTGTCTCACACGGTGGGTGCCAAAGCTTTCCTGAGCCCCATTTTCCCCAGTGCACCCCCCAGTGCTTGCAGTGCATAAGGGGCTGTAATCCATTTGGCCCCAATTAATTTAATTATCTACAGGCTACAGAGCTAAGCATTAGTGCTATAAACTTAGATGAATAAACTTCTGAAAACTTAAAATGTCTTTAAACCATTGCTTTTTTTTTTTTTTTTTTTACAGAAATACAAAATAAATAGCTTGAGGATTAATACAAAACAGTAAACTAATATCTTCTTGTTTATTGACTTTTCTCCCAAATAGTACCTTAAATTGAAAAAGCCTTTTTAAAAAATGAACTTCACTTCATGGAAAAAATACTCAGCATCCCTGGATTTTTACAAGTGTCTCTGAACAATAAACTAAACATATTTTATTTATTCCTCCTACCCATCACCAACTAAGCAAATGTTATGCATCCTACTGTTTCTAAGATATATATATATATGTAAAAATAGTAATTTATGATTTCTAAGTGATGGTGACCTGGCTGTGACATTTCACTGGAGCATTCCCTGGGCTGGATGCAGAAAGTAGACAATGGCACTCCCTGCTGGGTCGTGGAAAGGATTAGGGGACTTTTGTTGACCCCTTCTGCCTGTAGGATCTATTCTGGCTGTAACTTTGGTGTAGATAGATCTTTTCCCCCTCAGCACCCTCCCCAACCTGCCCCTGGGGTCCCTGCTCCCCAGGCAGCCTCGGATCTGATGGATCCCGCTGGGAACACGCACAAAGGGATCAGCCAGAGGAGCCCCCGTGGGCACTTTGGGGTTCTGAACACTGATTTCATGGATATTTGGAAGTGTTGCTTTTCAAATGGAACGGGTACTGAAGTTTATAACAAAAAACCTGAAAAGCCTTGAGCTGTGATTACGCTTCAAACACGCTGCTTCACAAATTAACTGCAGTGGCTGTTGGGCAGTGAATAAACCTCCTAAGAATGATAAATGTGTGATTTTACTGTCCCAGGCTGCTCTGGTGCTTCCAGCTTAAACCTTTTAGAGCCAGTGTTTGCATTCTTAGTTCTTGGAGAGAGGGGCTGAGGGACTGAGTGCAAATCCTGTTCATTTCTGGGTGTGCTGGGCTGTGTGGCTGTGTCCCAGCGACAGAGCCAGCTGCCTTCTGCTCCAGCTTTGAGAGGATGGCAGGCTCAGCACAGAGCCAGCTGCCTTCTGCTCCAGCTTTGAGAGGATGGCAGGCTCAGCACAGAGCCAGCACTCTGTCTCTCCCCCCTGAGGCATTCAGCTGTCTCTGGGGTGGCTTCGCTCAGTTGGACTCACCCTCATTTTTGATTTTTGCAGCCACTGCCACCTTTTACAGCTGGGCACAGAGCTTGCTTTCAGCTTGCCGGGGTGTTTCTGCAGGAGCTGCAGTACTGACAGAGGGCACAGAGTGACAACAGATCTGTGCCTTGGAGGCTGCCGTGCCACTGAAAATCCCGCAGGCAGACCCAGCTTTCCTGCTCCACAAACAGGAAATCTGGAAGAGGGAAGCTCCAGGGGCTGTGGCGTAGTGAATTGTTTTATCCATTCCCTCTGTGTAGTTTTAGGAAAAAATGTCCTCCTCTGAGGAGTCTGCATTGACAGTGGAGTTCCTTCCCCGGGTTTGTGCGCAGGGAACCGAGGATGGGATTTCAGGGCAGCTTTGGAGGGAGCACAGCTCCTCCTGTCAGGAGAGGGCGGCCGTGCCTGCAGCTGGGCTGGGAGCTGTGAGGGATAAACCAGCAGAGGAAACTGAGCATGAAACCCCAAATCTGCTGTGCAGAGGTTTGGCGGAGAGCAGGCACAGCTGTGAGCTCTGCTGGCTGCCCTGGGGTTCAAGGAGAACGCTTGGACTGGGATGAGCTGGAAGCCAGAGCTGGGGCTGCTGGGGCAGAGCGGGGTCTGGGCATGGTGAGCTCTGAGTTCTGCTCTCTCTTACACAGACAGTGTTTCATGCATCTGAAACCCATGAATCCCACTGAAGATATTTACAGCAGCCACGTCTGAGTGGGCGGGCGGTGGAGGGGCTGGAAGGAGCTCATGGGCAGGAGGTAGCTGACAGGTGACAGAGGAGAACAAGCAATGAGGAGAAGGGAGATTCAGTGCCCTCGCTGCAGAGCCTGCGTGACTGCAGTGATGGCAAAGCCCCTTCCACTGGCTCTTTGCCTTCCAAATCACCTTTTAGGCTTCTGTGTTAAAATTCCCGGGCTAAAACCAATGAGAAAAGCAAGCAAGCAACCAGCCTAACAAAAAATCTGAGTGACCCTCTCCCCTCAAAGGCAGCATGAACCACCAGCCAGGAGCTGACTGATTCTGATTTATGGTTTCTTTATCCTGAGGCAGGCAGGTAATGAGCCGGTGTTAGATCTCTGCGGGCTTTCCTGCAGCCCTGGGGAGATCAAAGCGAGCGACACTCCTTCCGATACCTGCACGCTTTGCTCCCCTGCCGCTGCGGGACCCGGGGAGGGTGGGTTCTGTGGAGCCCCGCTCGGGCAGCCCGGGGCTCTGCGGGTCCCGCAGAGGTGCCCGCAGCTCCCGCAAGCCCCGCAGCTCCCGAGGTGCGGGCGGGCAGGAGAGCGGCCCCTGCCCGGGGGCGCTGGGGAGGATGCGGGGCTGGAGCGGAGCAGGAGCGGGGGGAAGGCAGGCGCGGGTGAGCCGCTCAGTTTGCCGAGATGCTGCTGTAGCTCTTCTTGATGGGGAAGGTCAGCTGCCCCGAGAGGTCCAGCGACAGCGCCTTGGGGTGCAGCGCCCGGCGCGGGTGCAGGGGGCTGGAGCCCAGGCGCGGCGAGTACAGCAGCAGCAGCTCGGGGCCCAGGCGGGGCTCGGGCAGGAGCCCCTCGGGGCCGGGCTCGGTCCTGCTGCGGGGCAGCCTCGGCGAGGGCTGCAGGCTGTGCCGCTTGGGCGGCGGCGGGCTGTGGTTCTGGAACCTCACCGTCTTCACTTGCTGCAGCGAGAAGGGGGCCAGAGTCAGGCGGGGGCTGCAGAGCCTGCCCGCGCCCCCTGCCCCTGCGGAGCCCCGGGGATGTGCTGGGGGGCCGGGTCCCGCGGGGCAGCGTGCGGGCAGAGCCGCCCAGGGCGATGCGCGGCCGGTGGCAGGGGCAGAGAGCCCGGGGAGCTGCGCAGCAGGGCTGGCAGCTCGGGGAGAGCGGGCTGGGAGCCGGAGGCACCAGGAGATCCTGCCCTCGCAGGGCCGCGGGCTCTCAGCTGATGCTGAGCTGCCTGGGAGCTCTGAGGTTGGCTGGGCTCCTGGGGGCATGTGGAACGATTTGGGCACGCCTTTGGGTGCTGTGGGAAAGGGAAGCTGTCACAAGGGCAATTTTCAGAATGATTTTACCTTTATGAAATTTCTCTCTGGCTGCCAAAAAGGAAAGAAATTCCCATTCCCATTCCAAATGGCTCAGCCCAAGTGACATGAGGGAGACGGGGGAGTTCTGCAAAGCTCTGCCTGACACCAGTTCTGTGGCATTGGCTCCCAAACTCACAGATTCTTGCCCAATTTATGACCTCAGAAAAGTATCGAGATTTGCTTGTGACTGAGCTTGGTGACAGGGACAGAGCCCTGCAGCGCCCTGCCTTTCCCCAGGGCTTAATCGGATCAGCTGCGTCGGCAGCACCAATACCCGATTTCCTAAAGCATGTGTCAGTCCCAGCGATTTCTGTGGGAAGAAATTGCTGAGGATGGAGCAAAGCCCGGGGGGGTTTGGCCCTGACGCCGCTGGTGCCGGGGGATGCTCTGGGGCTCGGGCGGGTTCTGGCCGTACCTTTTCGGCGCTGTTGCGGGAGGTTTCTGGTTTCACCAGGATGGACGGCGGGGCTGATGCCGGCGGCTTCGGAGCTGCCTCGCTCTTCGCCGAGGGGTCTTTGGCGTCCAGGATCACCGAGCTGCACACGGACGGGCTTCGGCTCTCCCCTGCCCGGACCAGCAGCGCCGGTGCAGCCTCATAGGAGGAGTTGGGCCTCGCTGTCTCGTCCACGGCAGCTCCGGGGGGGACCGAGCTGACGTGCGGGTAAAGCTGGAAGTGCTGAGGTCGCCCCGCAGCCGAGGGACGCCTGAGGGAGCCGGTGATCTGCACGGGGGTCCCTGCCTGTCCTGGCCTCTGCAGGGATCCGTCTGGGGAGCGAGGACCACGGAAAGGCATTTGGTCAGGAATCCAAAATGCGCAGTTACAGCGCAGTTACAGCCCCGCGCCAGCAGCCCCGCTCACAGCACTCTGTGTGTGGGGCTGCAGCTCCCAGGGGTCACCCTGCGCCCACCCCTGGGCACCGGGACCCCTTTCGGTGTGAAAGCACTGACAGGGACCCCTGCCAGGGCACTGCCGCCCCCAGGAGCTGCTCCGCTAGCCAGGGCTGGGAACACACACTGGGCTCCCCAAATACTCTTGGGAGTGCATTACAAAACCGCGTGTCTGGGATGAAGATAAACCTTGCGGCCTCCTTGTAAAGAATACAACCGCCGAGCTCTGCGCAAAGCTTTGCAAGGGATTTTTCCACCCTGAGTCACACCCCTTGGAATTCCCGGAGCGGCCAGAGCCGGGCCGAGCGGGGCTGAGGGACCATTAACCATTAACGCGGGTGTGCTTTTTGGGAACGCGTCCTGCCCCCTCCCAGGCCCCAGCACTCACTCCTCCTGGCGCTGCCGCGGCCGCGGCGCAGCGGGGCCGGTGCCGGCCGGGCCGGGGCGGGCACGGGCACGGGCAGCAGCAGCGGCCGCAGCGCCCGGCTCTGCCGCGGGCCGCCCTCGGACACGCTCCCCTGCGAGGACAGCGAGGAGGTCGACAGCGTCCATGAGGTGTACAGGGCAGGCATCTTCGAGTCGGAGAGACTGGATTTCCTGTTGGAAAAGAAGGGCGAGGGCTGCCGGGTGCCATCCCACCTGGACGGGGACCCCTGGCCCTGGCCAGTTCTGGGGGGTCTCTTGTCAGTACTGGGGGGATGCCTTGCCCTGGGTTCTCTGTGGAAGCAAGAGCACCCCAAGTTCTACGTGTTACCCCCTTCCCTCTCCCCGTTTTGGTTTCATGTAAGAAGTCCCAGACCTGAAGAGGGGAGCGACGTAGTTGCTGGGGAAGAGGCCGACCCTGCCGGTGACGAGGGACATGCCCCGCAGCCACCCGTCCTGCTCCTTGCCGAAGACACGGACCCCTTCTCCCCTCTGCAGCTCCAGCTCGTCTGGTCCGTGAGCCGCGTAGGAGTGGAGAGCCACGCACCTGGGGAGAGAGGGCATGAGGGGAGGCAGAACTGCCCCGGGCGGGGCGGCTGCAGCATCCCGGAGCCCCGCGGTGTGACCCTGCAGGGGAGGATGCTGCTGGCCCTGCCTGGAGCATCCCGGAGCCCCATGGATTGACCCTGCAGGGGGAGGATGCTGCTGGCCCTGCCTGGAGCATCCCGGAGCCCCATGGATTGACCCTGCAGGGGGAGGATGCTGCTGGCTGTGCCTGGAGCATCCCGGAGCTCTGAGGTGTGACCCTGCAGGGGGGGAATGCTGCTGGCTGTGCCTGGAGCATCCCGGGGCTCTGCAGTGTGACCCTGCAGGGGGGGAATGCTGCTGACCCTGCCTGGAGCATCCCGGAGCTCTGAGGTGTGACCCTGCAGGGGGGGATGCTGCTGACCCTGCCTGCAGCCTCCTCAGCCAGTGCTGCACCGAGCATTTGGGTGCTGCCGTTTGTGGAGAGACCTCGCAGCAGGAAACAGCCTGGCACCTCAGGCCAAAGGGGACGTGGATAAAAGGAGAGCCAGCAGGAATGGGGAACAAAGCACCCCAGGAAATGGTTTCTGTCCCAGAAGTGCCAGCCCAGGGTGACAAATGCTGGGGGGAGGGAGCTGCTGCTCTGCACCTCACACAGCGAGTGCCCCACCAGAAACACGGATCAGGGCCTGACAAGTACCTGTCCTAAGGCAAAGCTCCTGAAAGAGCACAGTTATGGTGCTCAAGACAGCACCAGGCAATTCTGCCCTTGCAGCCAGAGGCCTTGGATCTGCTTGCCTGGAGCATCACCAGGAGGTGTTGGAAGAGCAGGGAAGAACACCACTCTTGCCCTGCCTTCCTTCCTCTCTCCCTGGCTCCCTGCCTCCTCCTCCTTGACTGGAACACAAGGACAGGAGTCCCAGCCTCTGGAGGCCATGGAGAATGGACAGAGCAGGAGGTAGGAGGAGGTACATGACTCCACTCCAAGACAGTGAGGAAATCAGACTAGAAATTGGTCTGAAATCCCCCCATGACCTCTCTTTTGTGATTCTGGGATTGGGACCGAGGGCTGAAGCTTTGTTCTTCTCTCTGACCCACACATGAGCACACAGCAAAACAGCAGCAAAAGAAAATGGTGTATTTCAAAAAACTTTTCCCTATCTGTTCCTTAAAGACCTTGAATTTGTCTCCAGTGTAACACATTTAATTGCACTGTTGTTTTTTCCAAGGGGAATGTGATCTGCTCTAAGAATCAATGAGTTACAGCCCAACACCCCAAGTATCAGGTGTTATTTACCAAACAAACAACAGACAGGGTGTCTGGATAGTCAGGGCTGCCCCAGACCTCTCAGAAGGGTTTCTCTCTCTCCTGTTCAGCACAGGCATCTGGAGGTTTGCCCTGCTGGGCTGGTGTGTGAGGGGCTCCCTGGGCCTGGCCCAGCCCAGCGGGGCTCGGGGTGTTCCTGCAGCTGCTCAGGAGCCACCTCGAGGGGAGGCTCTGCAGGTGCTGCTCTGACACTGCACCTGGGCAAACCAGGCAGCTGCTGGCTGCTCCCACACCGCCCTTCTGCAAATTGTTTTAAGGTCTTGGGAGTTCTCTTGTCCTTTGGGTTATTTGTGTGCTGGAGTCTTGGCTGGCTGATGATGGTGTGTGTGGGTCCCAGCACAGAGCTGAGCTGTGGGTGCTGCTCTGGGCACCAGGGGTGCTGAGTGAACAGTGTTGTTATTTTAGATGCTTTACTGAAGTGCCAGGGCGGTGAATCTCACCTTCATGTAATCATCATAGAGCACTACCTGCAAATTTTAACTCTGTGAAAGTTTTCAGAAATTGGATTGTTCAAAACACCAGTGGCCATGAAGGTTTCAGGATAAATAACTAGGGGCACTTAAGGAGTAATTAGTTTCTTTACGCTTAAATGAAATTAAAATGTATTATCGACAAAGAGGCAGAACTGTTTCTCCACAGAGACTGCAGGGAGGCAGAAAGACACACTCAGCTGTGGTGGCAGGTCTCTGCCAGCCCTGGCTAAGACCAGCCAGGCACATTCCTGCTTGGATCTGCACTGGGATCCGAGCTGTGCCCTGCTGTCTGCTCCTCCTGCCTGGCAGCAGCCAGCTGTGCCCCAAAAACCACACCCGTGCCCCAAAGCGTCCCAGTTTCCTTACAGGTAAGCTGGCCCGTGGTGCTGCAGGTGGGGAAGGGTCACGATGGCTGCCGGGGGCCCCAGGGGTCCTGCTGAGGGGTAGTAAGAGGTGCTGACCTGTGGGAGAAAGGAAGCAAAGAAAACAAATTATTAATCTGGTTATCAGCTCCTTTCAGCCACTGGAGGAGCAGCTAACACTTGACTGGCTTCACCCACCCTCCAAAAAACCACCGGAGACCTTTCAGGAAATGGAAGAGTCTGGAAAATTTGACTTAGAGGAAGACCAGGCAGCAAGAGGAAGACTCAGAATCACAGAGTCATTTAGGCTGGAAAAGACCTCCAGGATCATCGAGGCCCTGTGAGCGACCCCCACCTGGTCCTTCCCCACTGTACTGGCACCTGCAGAGTGGCACCAGCCACCACAGTGTCCCCTCCGGGCTCTCACAGGGGTCCCTGGGGCTCCAGCCCCGTTTCTGAGGTCACTGTGCCTTCAGCTGTGCCGGCTGTGGGTGGCTCCTTGTCCCCCCCCCGAGGCCACGAGCAGCTCTCCTCTCCCAGCTGGGCTGGTGATGATGATGATGATGATGATGATGCTGTCCCCCCGAGGGGGTCTCTGAGGTGAGGCCTGGGCCCTTGGGTGTCCTGTGCCGGGGTCTGCTGAGCATCCAGCCACGACCCCCGACCCAGGGCCCGCCTGGGGCTGTTTCTGTTCTCCTTCCGAGGTTGGTTTTGCGTCCCTCGTGCTTGCTGGGCTCTGCAGGGTCCCAGCTACCAGAGGTGCGGGTCTGCGCCACCTGGGCACACTCTGACGTGTCCCTCTGCCTCTGCCCTGCAGCCTTGCAGCGGCGCTGGCAGCACTGCAGCCCTGGGCGGGGGAGATGGAGCACGGCGTGCTGCGCCGGGCGTGCGGAGAGCGCGGCGGGGGAGGCAGCAGCAGGCAGCAGCAGGCAGCAGCAGGCAGCAGCAGGCAGCTGCGCTGGGCGTGCGGAGAGCGCGGCGGGGAGGCAGCAGCAGGCAGCAGCAGGCAGCAGCAGGCAGCAGCAGGCAGCCCGGCATCCTGGGGACCCCTTCCTCCTGCCGGGCTGTCCCCTGTGCCGGGCTGTCCCCTCTCTCGGGCTGTCCCTTCTCTCGGGCTGTCCCTTCAGCCGGGCTGTCCCTTGTGCCGGGCTGTCCCTTTTCTCGGGCTGTCCCTTTTCCCGGGCTGTCCCTTGTGCCGGGCTGTCCCTTCTCTCGGGCTGTCCCTTCTCTCGGGCTGTCCTTCCTGCCGGGCTGTCCCTTTTCTCGGGTGTCCCTTTTCCCGGGCTGTCCCTTCTCTCGGGCTGTCCCTTCTCTCCGGCTGTCCCTTCTCTCGGGCTGTCCCTTCTCTCGGGCTGTCCCTTTTCCCGGGCTGTCCCTTGTGCCGGTCTGTCCCTTGTGCCGGGCTGTCCCTTCTCTCGGGCTGTCCCTTTTCCCGGGCTGTCCTTCCTGCCGGGCTGTCCCTTTTCTCAGGTGTCCCTTTTCCCGGGCTGTCCCTTCTCTCGGGCTGTCCCTTCTCTCGGGCTGTCCCTTTCTGTCCCTTTTCCCGGGCTGTCCCTCTTCTCGGGCTGTCCCTTTTCCCGGGCTGTCCCTTCCCTCGGGCTGTCCCTTCTCTCGGTCTGTCCCTTCTCTCGGGCTGTCCTTCCTGCCGGGCTGTCCCCTGTGCCGGGCTGTCCCCTCTCTCGGGCTGTCCCTTCTCTCGGGCTGTCCCTTCAGCCGGGCTGTCCCTTGTGCCGGGCTGTCCCTTTTCTCGGGCTGTCCCTTTTCCCGGGCTGTCCCTTTTCTCGGGTGTCCCTTTTCCCGGGCTGTCCCTTCTCTCGGGCTGTCCCTTTTCTCGGGCTGTCCTTCCTGCCGGGCTGTCCCTTTTCTCGGGTGTCCCTTTTCCCGGGCTGTCCCTTCTCTCGGGCTGTCCCTTCTCTCGGGCTGTCCCTTTTCCCGGGCTGTCCCTCCTGCAGCACGGTGTGACTCCCCGGGCTGAGCAGCTGCCAGCAGCGCTCCCTCCGGTGCGGAGCCAGCCCTGCCCGCGCCGAGAGGGGACACGGAGCGCTGGCCGTGCCGTGCCCGGGCCGGGGCAGCAGCGGGGGGACAGCGCTGCCAGCGCGGCGGGGAGCGCAGGGCAGCGGAACGCCGCCGCGCTTGGATGCGGCTGGCAGCCGCGCTCTCCAGCACCGGCCACAGCATCTTTAATGATGCAAGCCGGGGCTTTAATCTCATGTTCGTTTCAAATCTAATTCCTAGTGGTCATGTCTGTAATGCGCTGCTGGAGCACTGGCTTGGCAAGGACCTAGGGAAACAGAAAAGTGACTCACCCGCTCTGGTGCTCTCCAGTAAATTAAATTAATTAAAACACCCCAGTAATTCCAGCTTCTGTCTCGGACCTGGAGTAGCAGGTCAGCTTCAAACCTTCTCTGCATTCCTCGTTTTCTAGTCCAGGCAGGATTGGACCAGGTGCTCATAAAGTTGACTGGAAATTATAATTCTGTTTTATTAATTACCATAATGCTTGAAATTTGGATATTTGGAGCTTCTTTTTTTCTGCATTGGAACAAAATGACAGCCTTTTGCTGTTTTTCCTGATGGAAGTGTGTTGAAATGTCCCCTTCTGGGGGGCAAGCTCCATGGTTTTCACCTCTGTGTTCCCCTGTGCCTGGGAGCAGCCATCATTTAGAGCATCCTCAAAGCTGCCTTTGCATTTGCAACACGCAGAGGGGAAAAAAGATTGGGAGAAACATTTTCGAGTCACGTACAACTGATTTCAGCACTCTTGCTGATCTCCCACGAGTACCTTGCAAGTCCTTGTAAGACTTACTTCCTTACTTCCCTGCCTCTCCCTCTCTGGCTCCATCTCCCTTTCTGGCGTGTCACCGATGTGACCCCGGCTCTGCTGACACAGGCAGGTCCCTGCTGGGAGTGTCCCTGTGCCAGGGACGCCCTGCCCGTCCCACGGCGGAGCTCTGGGCACCGCGCCCGCCCGGCTCCCATCATTTATGGCTCGGGGGTGCTGGGACAGCAGCTCCCTTCCCCTGTGCAGGGCACAGCAGCAGCTCCGGGTCGGTCCGGCCAGGACTGCCAGCGCGGGGGATCAGCTGGGTTGTGCTGGGAAGAGATTCCAGCGGCGCAGAGGGAGGGCGTGGGTGCCCCGCTGCCCTCGCCCCACAGCCGCTTGCACAAGAGGCACATGCACAGACACGGCCGCCGCAGCCCCGCGGACTGGTTCTGGCTCCAGCCGAGCCCGAGGGGAAGCGGGAGCCGGAGGAGGAGGCTGGGGCAGCGCTGGGAATTCCCTTTTATGGGCCAGATGAGTCGGCCCTGCCGCCGGTGCGGGAACGGCAGGCGGGCAGGAGGCGCGGGGGGAGCCCCGCAGCCCCCGGCACAGCCCCCCGCCCCGGCTCGGCCAGGGCTGCTGCTGTCCGGGGTGCAGCCCCTGCTCCCGCGGCTCCCTGCCACCCTGGCAGTGCCCAGCCGGGCTTGGAAGGGATCCCAGCCCTGCAGCTCGGCCTCTGCAGCCCAAAGCCAGAGGTGGAGAAGGAAAGCTGCATCCTGTGCAGCCCCAGAAACGGCACAGGTGCCCCTGCGAACCTCGGGCAGCAGCGCTGCTGATGGGAAAAAAGCGATTTCCAACCCTTCTAAGGCCCAGCCATGACATGTCCCCTCTCTCGTTTCTGCTCTTGGCAGGGCTTCACACCAAGAATTTTGGGAAAGACCCTTTTGGGGGCGAGAGAGAGAGGATACAGTTCCAGTTGAATTGTGGAACTCCTGTAGGGTTTGATTCCCCTCTGTAACCCGGGGTATCACATCCCAGCTCTCTGCAGGCTGGTGCCCAGGACACAGTGCCTGCTGGGTGCTCCTGCCTGGACACGGACTGCCAGGGGCTGCGTGACTGCTCTGAAAAGGAGCAAAGCGGAGCAACCTGCACTATGAAAGAGGTCCTATCAATGCAAAAGCCCCTTTCCCTCCCATATCAGATATCTGTGAAGATTCCCTGCTCAGATCTCCGGTCAGAGTGGGCAGAAGGAACGAGACTCTTCTGCCTGGAGGGGAAGGACCGGCCCCGGGCTCCGCGTGCCCCAGGACCACCCCGGGCTGGGGCTGAGCCCTTACCTGGAGCGGGGCGCTGCAGGGCGGCTCGGCTCTCTCGCTGCTCTGGGTGGGCACGCTGGGGTTGCTGGAGCTGATGAGCACGGGGGAGCTGATGTGCAGCGCGGGGCGCTCGGCGGGGGCGTGCACCATGCGGTTCAGGGTGTTGAGCGCCGTGGTGATGGAGAACTGCCGCAGGCTCTTCCGCCGCGCCTCGGGCGCCTTGGCGAACGCGGCCGGCTCCGCAGCCTTGGCCTTGGAGCGCAGGGACGAGCCCTTGGGCGGCGGGGACCAGCGGCCTTTGGCCTGCAGGAGCTGCTGGACCGCGGGGCTGGGCTGCAAGAGACAACGGGAGCACGGGGGGGTCAGAAGTTACCCCCGCACAGCCCTCCTCTGCTGCTGCCCTCTCCCTCCGGCAGCAGGGGTCGGGTGGCGTTACCTTTACCGGGTTGTCTTTAAAATCTTGGGGCTCTGTCATTTCTCTCATCCTGTGTCAGTGACAAGCTCTGGGTGTAAAATTTCCGATTCAAAGATGACAGCGAAATTAAAATTGGTTTTTAAAACTTGTGCTAAGACAAGGGGTTACTGAGGATGAGCGCTCCCCCTGACACTCTCCTTGTCCAGAGCTTTGGCTGGCAGAGGTGCCAGCAGAGCTGTACTTGATAACTTTAACTCTGGATTAGAAGGGATGTTTGGACTCATCGCCCTTTCCCCATCTGTGCTGGCACACGTGGAGCATCTTGCAGCTGAGGGTATGGCACGGGCTCAGAGAGGCCCCCACTGCATTCCCAGCAGGATTACATCCACCCAGTTCCAGCTCTGTCAGCCTGAACATTCATGGCTTGATGCTGCTTCCACTGAAAAACCCCTGGCTTGCCAAGGACAGGGTTGATGAGGCAGGCCCTGGTTTTGCATACGGGCAGTGTTCACACAGAACTTCTTGGAAACTGCTGATCAGGGTGTTAGTAGCAAAGGGCATGTGGTGACAGCGTTTTTCACCACGATGGGTGCCAGAGGAATTAATCATGATTTACTGCTGACATTAATGAATTGCAAAACCTGAGATTCTCACCCACTCGTGGGAGGCAATGTGCTCGATGCCTGGGATGGACAGGGAGACCATGGCAGGAGAGGTACAGGTGGCTCCCAGATGTTGGCATTTTACAACAGGGGCAGTTTTCTCATTTTCCCTCTCCAAAATAATGCTTAAAGCCCTCAGTGTGCATGTAGGTACACACATGCCACGGCCATCCTGTCATTTCTCTGTGTGTGCAAACTGGAAATGTTTTTCTGCCTATCTAAATCCCAGGAGACACGATGAAGTGGGGCACAAACTGCATGTCAGAGCCAGGAGAGCCTCGTGTCTCCCACAGTAGCCCTGCCTTTGCCTTCTCTAGAATTAATTTCTAATTCCTTGGTGGCTGTCTGTGTCCCTTAACTAACTTGTGTCTCTCAATGCCAGACTTGAATAAGCCATTACTGAAGCTAAAATAATTTCATTAAATGAAAAGTCATTTAAAAATATATATTAGCCCTTCAAATAAGTTGTTTTGCTTGTGTCCTCCTATAAACAGCCACAAAGCAGAGCTTGCTGTAATTATGGGCACTACAAGCATTAATTTTATTTCTAGGAACAGGTGCCGGTGCCATGTACACCCTGCATCTCAAGCTAAGCTGCACGGATTAACGTCTGGACCAGGGCTGGCAGCGTTCTGCCAGCGAGGGGGTGGCTGGAAGGTCTCTGGGGCCGTCCTGGGCAGAGCTGGCACCGCCCGGGTCCCCGCGTCCCTCTGTCTTGCCCGGGTCCCCCGCGTCCCTCTGTCCCTCTGTCCCTCTGTCCCTCTGTCCCCCTGCGTGCCGCGGCGGGGTCCGAGGGGCTGGGGGCTCCTCCGGCGGCCGAGGGGAGCTGCCGAGGGGCTGGGGGCCGTGCTGCGGGGGTACCTTGGGCAAGGTGGGGGTGTCCCGGCTCTCCGCCTTGTCCCGGCCCCGCAGCTCCAGGCTGTAGAGAGGGCGAGGCAGCGGCAGCTGCTTGATGACCTGCACGGAGCTGGCCGGGAGAACGCCGCTGGCGCCGTCCAGCTCGCCCAGGTACCAGTTCTCGTCCAGCTGCCGCAGCAGCACGATGGTGTCGCCCTTGTTGAAGCGCAGCTCGCCGGGGCCGTGCCCGCGGTACGTGTACAGCGCCCTGGCCCGCGGCACCTGCGGGGACGAGAAACAGCCCCTGCAGCTCGGCTGACACACAGCTCCCCAAAAACACTCCTAATTCAGGGGAAAAAACATGCGCAGGTCTGAGGCTTAAGCGTGCATTTATTAGCCCCTGCAGCTCGGCTGACACACAGCTCCCCAAAAACACTCCTAATTCAGGGGAAAAAACATGCGCAGGTCTGAGGCTTAAGCGTGCATTTATTAGCCCCTGCAGCTCGGCTGACACACAGCTCCCCAAAAACACTCCTAATTCAGGGGAAAAAACATGCGCAGGTCTGAGGCTTAAGCGTGCATTTATTAGGATTAACTACCCACATCCTTCCTTGATGGGTTTTGCTAATGAAGACGAGCTCCCAAATACTTATGCTAAGTTTGTATCAAGATGAAAAGCAGGCTGGACTTGTTTAAGAATATTAAGAAACAGTTAAGGCCTTCAACTAGTCTTCCCATGGGATCTTATTGCTATAAGGGCTCCTCCAACACAATATCTATTTTAATGGCCCAGGTATTTCTAGTTCAGAGGGACTGGAGGTCGCAGCCATCACCCAGCTGAGCTGGTGGCTGTCACCTGCCAGGAGAACACAGCAGAGCAAGGTGAGTGCAGGTTCTGTGCTCCCGTGGCCCCATCCCTGCTGTAACACGTGTGACTGTGGTTTAATCCAGCCTTTTCCTGCGTGCTGGGAAGGGCTGGGCTCATGTTACCATTGCTGCAGTGTAATGTGACACAGAAGAGACATGGCAAACCCAGAAGAGATGCAGGCACCTTGTGATCTTGACTCTGAGCCAGGTGAAATGGCCAGGTTGCCCTAAGAGAGCTGCTGTGCTGAGCCCTGCTGTCCCTGAGCTCTGCCTGGGGCTCTGCTGTGCCTGCAGTGAGGGCCCTGGGCAGGCTGCAGCCCCTCCTTGGGGATAACCCAAATGCTGAGCTGCATTCTGGCCTGTCCTCAGGGATAACCCAAATGCTGAGCTAATTCTGCCCTCTCCTCAGGGATAACCCAAATGCTGAGCCCCATTCTGCCCTCTCCTCAGGGATAACACAAATGCTGAGCCCCATTCTGCCCTCTCCTCAGGGATAACCCAAATGCTGAGCCCCAGTCTGCCCTCTCAGGGATAACCCAAATGCTGAGCCTCAGTCTGCCCTCTCAGGGATAACACAAATGCTGATATCCCTTCTGCCCTGTCCTCAGAGGATAACCCAAATGCTGAGCTAATTCTGCCCTCTCAGGGATAACCCAGATGCTGAGCCCCATTCTGCCCTCTCAGGGATAACCCAAATGCTGAGCCCCATTCTGCCCTCTCCTCAGGGATAACCCAAATGCTGAGCCCCATTCTGCCCTCTCCTCAGGGATAACCCAAATGCTGAGCCCCATTCTGCCCTCTCCTCAGGGATAACCCAGCTGCTGAGCCCTATTCTCCCCTCTCAGGGATAACCCAAATGCTGAGCCCCATTCTGCCCTCTCCTCAGGGATAACCCAAATGCTGAGCCCCATTCTGCCCTCTCCTCAGGGATAACCCAAATGCTGAGCTCCTTCTGCCCTCTCAGGGATAACCCAAATGCTGAGCCCCATTCTGCCCTCTCCTCAGGGATAACCCAAATGCTGAGCTCCTTCTGCCTTCTCAGAGACAACCCAGGTGCTGAGCCCCAGTCTGCCCTCTCCTCAGGGATAACCCAAATGCTGAGCCCCATTCTGCCCTCTCAGCTGCCCCACTGAGCTCCTTGCTGGCCAGCTGGGCAGCTGGGGCTGTCCCTAGCTCTGGAGCCTTGGCCAGCTTTAGGCTGACGTGCCAGTGCCCAGGGACAAGGGGCTGCTCCGCTGCTCCTGCCGGGGCTCTGCGGCTCTGGAATGTCCTTCTCCTGTCTCCAGAGGCTGCCAGGTGCTGTGGCATGGTGAAGACAGTGCCCTGCAGCTTCTCCAAGCCACAGTCACCCCCTCCCACCCATCCCACAGCAGACTCCAGTGACACATTCCAGACTTCCTGCCTTTTCCTGTGCATTTCCCCAAATCCTGCTGTGTCTGTGGCCAGGGCTCAGGCAGGGCTCCTGCAGAGCTCCCTCTCTCTCAGCCCCTTTTCAGAGCTCAGGAGGTAGAAGCAAGAATCTCAACGTTAGTTTCTAGAAGTGTGGGAAAGATCGAATTTCCCACGGCAATAGTTACAGTTTTGGAAAGAGGGCATCTTCCAGCATCCCCAAACCCTGATGCCTGGTAGGGAAAAGGAACCAAGATGAGAAAAATCTCATGTTCTGCTTTTACTTCAAAGTCTTTGAAATGGGAAGCAATTAGTTGAATGTTTAGTTCTAATTAAGTCATTCTCTCTCTTAATTTGTGCTCAGAGTAAACAGATGTGCTTGGCTCAGTGACACTGACAGCACATTGCTGGGAGAAAGGACAGGGGCAAGGGAGGCTTGGCCAGTGCTGCTCTCACCAGAAAACCAGGATCACATCCGTGGGGGCAAACACACACCTGGACAGGTGAGCTTGCCACGAGGAGAACAGGCTGGGGACAGCAGCTCTCCTTCAGAGCCACGCTGGCACCACTGGCACGAGGAGCACAGGGCTGGCACCGCCTCAGGAGCAGCCAGAACACAAATGGGACCTTCACAAAGGGTGAGCAGGGCTTGGGAAGGAGGAGCAGCAACGTCTGGGAGGTGAGGGAATGGCAGGATTCAGCAGAACATTAAAGGCAGCATGAACGAGTTATGGAAATGCATTAAAAAGAAGAGAAACTCCGAAATGAAATGCATGCCTGGTGCTGACCGGGAACGGGGAGCAAGCAACAGAGTGCTGGGAGTCTGGAATATTCTTTCTTCAGCAGGGCAGGCTGGGATAAACACCCAAAATCCAGGGGGACAGGAGTGTGTGGGGGCAGCTCTGGCTGAGCACAGCCCTCCACTCGCATGCACACAAACACCCAAAGCCCAGGGGGACAGGAGTGATTGTGGGGGCAGCTCTGGCTGAGCACAGCCCTCCACTCGCATGCACGGAGGGTTGGATGAACGGGCTCCTTCTTCCTCTGACCACACTCACAACCTTCAGCTCTTCCCCTCCTCTTTAACCCTTTCCTCACACCTTTCTGCCCTTTCAAATCTCCCAACCCAAGTCAGCTTTTTCCAAAGTCTGTAGGTTCTGGTAATTTCAATTTTTTTTTAAAATAAATTCAGACACTGAGCCAAAAATATCCCACCTATTTCCCAACTTCATTTGGGACGCAAACTAAGCCTTTACCTACCCACAGGCAGCAACTGAAGTGCCCTGTCACAAAATAAAGCTGCAAGCTGGGGATTTCAGAAGGACACACATAGTCATGCGTGTAAAACACACGTTTTTTACCGTGTTTGTAGGGTGTAGGAAAGAACACCTGACCCCTGCAGTGCCAGGCACGGTGCTGGAGCTGGGGTGGGCCAGGGGAGCCCCCGAGGTGGGCACCAGGCCAGCACCTCCCTGCTGTGGCTGCAGCTCCGAGCTGCTCTCAGCCAGGGCTGCTTTCTGCCCGCTCCCGGCTGCCCCAGATCCTCTGCGAGGGATCTGTTTTGCTTTATTTAAAGTAGGTTAATTGCAAAGGCAGAAACTGGGGTGCTAATTAACCTGTGATAAAGACAAGGAGTGCCGGGGGTGGCTGAGGGCAGAGGGAGAGGCGGTCCCGGCCAGAGTGTGGCCCTGGCAGGGGGAGCAGGACCTGCTCTGCTCTGCTGGAGCCTCTCCTGCCAGCATGTCTGGGGGAGATGCTTTTCTCTCCTTGGCCACTCTGCCAGCAGGGATGGTCATGGCAGATGCACTTCAACTCCTTGTCCCCATTCTCAGCGGATCTGAGGCCAATAAGGGAGAAAAGATTTTATTTTTTTCACTATTTTTGGCATTTGGCATCGGTTGCGCTGGGCAGCCATCCAATGCCTTTGAGTCTCCCTCTGCACAAAACAAAGATTAAAAATACGTATATGAGTGTGAGGAAGCAAGTGGGGCATCTCTTCCTGGCAGAGAAGTGCACGCTGTGGTTGTCTGAAAGGAGCTGAAATGACTCCTCACAGCTGGCAGGGGGGCCCATGAACGACCCCTGCCCTGGGCAAGGGAATCTACAAAAAGGAGAAGGAGCAGCAGCGAGTGCCACTGGCTGGGGAGGGACCACCGGCAGCAAAGCCAGGAGCACAGGAAGGGGAGAGGCTGCTGCTGGGAGCTGGAGTGCCCACACCTTGTCCTTTGGCACCAGCCCAGGGAGCAGGGCTGCCAACAGCAGCCAGGGGAGGCCGAGGCCAGGAACGGGTCTGGGCTGGAGCCACCCAGCCCCGAGCCCCGCCACGCACAGCTCGGTGTCACACGGCTGGTGACACCGGTGGCACCCTCCTGAGCCCCCGTGCTCGTCCTCACCAGCAGGGCCAGCAGAGGGACGGGGATGGACCTGGGAGAGCAGCAGGGGACCTTTGGGACAGCTCCTCAGTCTGGCTGGCCAGGGCTGCTTCCTCCTGATTCCGGGACCCTTGGGACAGCTCCTCTGGCTGGCCAGGGCTGCTTCCTCCTGATTCTCTGCCGCTGACCTCGGGGCTGTCCCCCAGAGCCCAGCAGGACAGCGGGGATGCTGCTGGCAGATGGGTCAGGAGTGGCCTCAGACCGGCTTGCACCGGTGTTTGCCCAGCTGTGACTTTCCTGACCCGGGCAGGAATGCCCTGGAGCAGCTTCCCCCTGTGCCCGTCCTGCTGAATGCCTCTGCAGTGAACCCCAAGGGACCGGTGCCAGTCTGGGGGTCACAGGAGCTGCCCCACAGGGGGGGTGTCTCGGACCTGTGCAGGACACAGGGCAGCCCCGGGCACTGGGGATGCCTCCCCTGAGGCAGGCAGTGACTCCAGCACAGACCTGAGGGCACAGCCCTGCTCTGCTGAGCTGTGAGTGGCACTGAGCCCTGGAGCTGGCTGTTACCCACCACTGACACCGAAGGACACACTGCCTTTTCATGGAGATGATCAATAACATCTCCATCCACTCTGACTCCTGAGAGCTGCCTCC